GACTGGACAGGTTGGTTAGAGGATGAACTGTCAGAGTATGTAGCTGCATAGTCATTATACAATGCAACCATTACAGTTTGGACCTTGGCAAAACATTCTTTGCCTTTAACATCTCCATACAACTGGACAAACTGGTGAGGCATGTACTCCTCCTTATCTCCGGGGTCCAGAATATTGGCAAAGAAAATGAGATGGTTCATTTTTTCTGGATCTCCCCAGTACTTATCAAACTTGTCTTTCATTTTTGTCCCCATTGCCTAATAAATACAGAAACTCAGAAAGCATAAACATTTTAAAACATATACAACTTACAAGTTATACAGAATTACACAAATAAACACAAGTGTTTTACCTTTTCAGTATTCTCAGCTTTAGTCATATCTTCCAGCATGCAACTTAGATCAGAGATCTCAGAGAAGAATGTGTTAGAAGTGACATAAAGAGAACCAGATATTCTCACTGTCATTTCATAAAAAATTTTCAAAAGCTTCATTAAGCTTTCAACAGTCTCCCAATCAATGAAAGAAGGTGCAGAACCCAAGTCAGCAGAAAAAGGAGGATCATTTTGATAATATGAGTCAAAGACACTTTGATATTGAATTGCAGTGTTGAACATAATGTAGGTGCTGTTCCACCTTGTAGGGACATCAAGCTGCAAAGCTGCTTTGGCTTCCACCCCAATGAGTTCAGCAAGCTCTCTGAACTTATTCAACCTAGCAGGTGAGTTCCTAACCCATCTCACTGCATCCCTCACCCTTTTTACTGACTCATTTGCAAACCTTAAGCCATCTTGAACCACTAAGTTTAAGATATGGGCTATACACCTCATGTGCATATACTGCACTTTAACAGAAGAAGAACCCCAAGACAACAACTTGCTTTTAAAAAATCCCATAGCTGTATCATTAGAAGAAGCATTGTCCACTGTCACAGAGAACACATTTTTAATCCCCCACTCCAACAGACAACTCTCTAAGGCTTTGGCAATATACTTCCCCCTATGAGAAGAAACAGGGACAAAGGAAATTATTTTTTTCTAAAGCCTCCACTGGTCATCAATAAAATGTGCAGTAATGCACATATAATTAATCCTCTGGACAGAAGTTCATGTATCAGTGGTTAAACTGACCATTTGGGTGCCCACTCTAAACAACTTCTTAAGACTCAATCTCTCATCTAGGAAAATTTGGTAGATATCCCTAGAAATAGTCCACCTAGAAGGAATCTGAAACCTAGGACAAGCTACAAGAATACACTTCTTGAACCCCTGACCCTCAACAAACCTAAAAGGGAGTTCATCTATGATGATCATCTCACACAATGCCCTCCTAATGGCCTCTTGATTAAAGACCCATGTCCCCAAAACCCCCCACAGGAGCCTTTGTTGCAGAAGTTGAAACAGTATTGAATGTGAGAAAGGACTGCCTAATATCCTTTGAAACAGGATTTTTAAGGCATGCCAGCATATGATTTTTCAAAGATGATGTGCCATGTTTCTTAGACTCACAGACAAACACTTTCAGGCAGTAAATGCACTTGCCTTTAACCACTACATTTTCAGAGTTTTTGATCTTTTCAAAGTGATACCACTACATTTTCAGAGTTTTTGATCTTTTCAAAATGATCCCAGACTGGAGATCTAGACTCAACCACCTTCCTCTTTTTTTTGCAGGAACAGCAGGAGTAACCTGAGGCTGTTGAGCAGGATTCTCAGTGCCTTGGGCTTGTCCTCCATGTCCCTCTTGAGTTGAGGGTTGAGGTCCAAAATCAGGAAGATTGATGCTCTCCATCTAAAATGATGGGCATCAATTAAAGGTCCAATAAATACAAGTACTTCAAGTACTTAGCAAAGGCAACAATCACATAAACATACAAAGAAATCAAGATTTCACATTTTCATATTTACATATTTACATATTTACATATTTACATTCAATTAAGGGTAATACATCCATAAACATACTCAATGAATGAAAGAAATCCAGATTCAGGAACTGTATCCAGTTCATCATTATCTGGATTTCAGTTAATGGCTTCCATCAATAAATGGAAATTTCAAGTTTGAAACTTCTCAACAGATCGCAATATCAGATTATCAATTTATCATAGTCCACAGAAATCACAATCACATAAACCCTAAGCAAACTATCAAAACTATCAAAGTATCACAAATTATACACAAGTGACACTGTGACATGCAATCTGAAACTTCTCAACAGATCACAATATCCCATTATCAGTTTATCATAGTCCACGAAAATCACAATCACATAAACCCTAATCAAACTATCAAAACTATCAAAGTATCACAAATTATACACAAGTGACACTGTGACATGCAATCTGGAACTTCTCAACAGATCACAATATCACATTATCAATTTATCATAGTCCACAGAAATCACAATCACATAAACCCTAATCAAACTATCAAAAGTATCACAAATTAGAGACAAATGACATGCAATCTGGAACTTCTCAACAGACCACATTATCACAGTCCACACAAATCACAATCTATAAGACTAGGGTGAGTAAATCAGTTAGTAAATCACAACTACAAAACTAGGGTTTGTACTTCCACCATAATAGATCACAACATAGCATAATCACAATCTATAAGACTACGAGTGAGTAAATCAGAACTACAAAACTAGGGTTTGTGCTTCCAACATAATAGATCACAAAATAGATCACAACATAGCATAATCACAATCTATAAGACTACGAGTAAGTAAATCAGTGAGTAAATCACAACTACAAAACTAGGGTTTGTGCTTCCACCATAATAGATCACAAAATAGATCACAACATAGCATAATATAACACAAATATACGAACATCTGAACATGCAGAGAGAAAAGAATCAACAAACAATAAAAACAAAAACTAGGGTTTGTGCTTTACTTGGTTTCCCCTTAATATTCCCCGGAGAACAAGGGCCTCTAATCACCAGTCCACCACCAACTCGAGAAGGGCTTCCACCAGTCCACCACCAACTCAACAAGTCACCAACGGCCAACGACCACCGGACAATCAGACAATCGAAGTATCCACAGAGTTTCAGATAGAGAAACTATAGAGTAGAGACTCAGAGTCTCAGACAGTCAGACTCTCAAAGAGTAGGGACTAGAGAGAGGTGAGACTGTGAGAGACTCAGAGGAGGAGATTTGAGAGGAGTAGAGAGAAGTCAGAGAACAGAGAACAAGAGAAGAGAGCTGAGAGTCTCAGAGAAGAGAGCTGCGCATCTGGCTCACAAGCGTTCAACATACATATATACTAACCTCATACGACGTCGTGTAGCATACACCTAAATCCTAACCCTAGCAAACTTCGAATAATCGGACGGGTCGGATGGGAAAAAACCAAACCCTATCCGAAGTCCTTTATCCGACGTCGTATAGGGCTGCGGATCGGATATGGAATCTCGGATGCGGATCGGGTCGGATGCCTTGGTTTCGGATTTCGGGTCGGACGGTTTTTTCGGGTTTACACAGGCCTACGTAAGCAGGTAACCTGCTATCCGGTGAAACTACATACATTTGGAGTGTTCAGTGCTCTAATTGCACGTTTTTGAGGTGTTCAGTGGCCTAATTGCACTTTTTTTCATTCAATGGCCTAATTGCATTTTCAGGTTAGATTACCTTATTCCAACAATAGACTATGTAAGGTCAAAGTGGACCATGTGTTCAAGGAATATGCTCTTATTAAAGTTGTCATTTGGTCATGATCATGGTTTGATAAGAGCAGTATAATTAGAACAATTTTGCTGCTACTCCAATGTCCTTAGATGTGCTAGGGGCAATTCATCATTAAGATATGGGCTTGATGAAATCAGAAATGTCAGTTTCCTGGGAAACAAGTTGTATGCAAACATTCTGCTCCTTAACGTCAAAATGATTCCTCACAGTGATATACACACTGAATTAGGTAATTAATACTTACCTCAACCTATTAATTAAAATACATACTCAACATTTTACGCTTTATTCTTTTTCCATTTTCATTGTGACAAAAAGATAAAATCGTTCACTTCAAGTGTTTCCACACCCCTACCTGACAATTTGCGAAGGGGTGAATACAAAACTCAACTGATCATCAAAGGTTAGACTTTTGTTTACCGTGCACAAGAAACCCTCCCCGTTTTGAGAGGTTACTCCACACTGTCACTAGTGAGACTCGATCATTGATCTCTTGTGACCAGGGCCGTATTTTAAATTTTGGTGGCCCTGTTCTGGTAAATAAATGTGGCCCTACCAAAATCACAATTTTTAAAATCAATACATGCAAGTTTCGAACCTTTGACCTCCAAGTTAAAATACAATAAATATACATTTTTACCATCTCTTCATAGAACCTTTTAAGTTTAATTGAAAACTCTTAATTTTTATTTCTAAACTAGCTAGGTAAAAATTAAATATTGGACCTATAAAATTTGGGGCCCCTCTAAAATTGGGGGCCCTGTGCGGTAGCCCAGCTTGCACAGCCTAAAATCCGGCCCTGCTTGTGACAAAAGTTACTTCACACTGTTACTAGTGAAACTCGATCATTGATCTCTTGTGACAAATTTTACCATGTGACCAACAATCATTATTGTGTGGACAAGCTGTGTGGGTCATATTTTGTATACTGTAAAATAATGTACATTCAGTATAAAAATAATGCACTTCTAATATATTAAAAATGTACATTGTATTCAGGGGATATACATTATTTGGATGTAAATTATATTATATAATGTACATTCAGTACACAAGCCTCTTTTTTCCATTTTCCTGAGCCGAGGTAAGTAATTAGTAATCAATACTTACATGTTGGTCATAGCACATACTTCCCAAAAGATATCATTCATACTTCATACTTTCATAGGTTGGAAAGTAGTGTTTCTGCAATGTGGCAACAATTTACTTGGTTTCCATTACAATACAAACACACTTCAATATATAATAAATGGGGAATAATATACTAAACTTGATATGATGGGTATATTAACAGTAATGTCAAGAATCTAAGCATTCCCATTGATGAGCAAGAGCATGAACAACACCATCAAAGCTATCAAACCTGGAACTCACCACATCAATCCCAACTCCAAGCCTCTCGGCGCCGGAAGCCGTCACCGGACCGTGGGCGGCCACCACTAGCCCCGGGCACATCCTCCTCACCGTCTCCCAATCCAACCCGTACTCTCTCAAGCTCTTCAGCAGCCCCTCCACTTCTCCGGTGCTCGAGAACACCATCGCATCAATCCCACACTCCTCTCCGCTCCTCCTCACCACCTCCGCCGCGCACGCCGGCCCTCCCCACCGCGTCTCGTACGCGTTAACTCTCACCGGAACCCACCCTTTCTTCGCCAAGTCCCGGAGGAACGCCGGCACCACCGGCGGCTCCTCCAGGCCGATAACCGACGGGACGGGGCAAAGAACTTTCTTTCTCCCTTCCCCGTCGCCCAGCGCCTCCACTAGACCCGTCGGGGTCGCAATCCGAGGCTCCACGACCCTGATTCTCTCCGGGTTTTCGCAGATTCTTGAAATGAAAGAGTCATCGAGAAGCTCCAGATCCTTACCCAGAGCTGAAATTACCAAGATTTCTCCGGTTGGGGACAAAGGGTACGTCCCTATGCTCGAAAGCGCTTCTGAAAAGGCAGAAATTCCTGTTCTTGAAGTGAAGGCAATGGCGGAAAAGTGTTCGAGGAGGGGGTTAGGGTTTGGGGAAATATGGGAGTGGATAGAGGAAATGGTTTGCGGGGTGGTCTGAACAATGACGGTGGGGCACCAGAGAGGAGTCCAGCCTTTGAGGTGGATGAGATCCGATAGCCTTGCGGCGTAATTCTGAGGAGTGGTGAAAGCTATGACTCTGTTTTTGCTCTGTGGAGAGTTTGGAGTTCCCCAAGAAATTAGGGGAGGAGGGTGTTGCAGATTCAGGATTATCATTGCCACATCTTTCTGGGGAGATTGATACTTTCCAGCTTTGCTATTTTCATTTGAGAAAGTGAGGAACTATGGATAACTTAATCTATTTATTTGGGTGGATGTCAAAAATCAAAATTGTGTCCTCTTCTTCTCTTCGAACAGTAACACCTGGTATGCGTAATCCGACCCACCCGAAGAATTTGACCGATCCAAATCTGAAACCGAGCAAGAAATGGGATCAGTGGGAGCCACAATTACGCCGTTTGGTTGGAGGGACGGAATTGCAATTCTCTCATTTTGCTGAATTGTAATTCATGGCACCCCACTATTAATTGCAATTCGGTGTTTGTGAGAAAAGAAAAAAAAAAGGATGAAATAACAAAAGTACCATTAATTATTACTACTATTATGGAATAAGGGTCAAATAGGTCATCCAACTGCACACAATAATTCAATTAGGCCACTGAACCTAAAAAAAAAAAACAATTAGATTCCTAAACTAATCATTTTTTTGCAATTAGTCTAATTTGTAAGTTTTCTAGGTTGTTAGCAGGTCACCTTGGATTTAAAATATTTTTTTAAATTTAAAATATTTTTAAAAATATTTATTATTTAAAATAATTATTTAAAACTTAAAAAAAAAAAAAAAAAAAAAAAAAAAAAAAAAAGGAAACAGATCGTCTCCGGCCATGGATTCGTCTCCATGGCCAGAGACATCTTCGTCTCTGGCCGGCCGGAGACGAAGAGACCCGGCGAGTCTCTTCGTCTCCGGCCATGGAGACGAAGAGTCTCTTTGTCTCCACTGTCGGAGACGAAGAGACTCTTCGTCTCCATGGCCGGAGACGAAGAGTCTCTTCGTCTCCGGCCATGGAGACGAAGATAACTTCTTCGTCTCCGGCCGGCCAAAGACGAAGAGGTCTCCGGCCATGGAGACGAATCCATGGCCAGAGACGAAGAGGTCTCCAGCCATGGAGACGAATCCATGGCCGGAGACGATCTTCTTCTTTTTTTTTTTTTTTTTTTTTTAAATAATTATTTTAAATAAAAAAATTATAAAAAATACTTTAAATTTTAAAAAAAAAAATATTGGGAAAATGACACTTTTTCCCCCTGAGTTATATACTTATAGCACTTTTCCCCCCTGAATTATTTAAGTGGCTTTTTTCCCCCCTAAAATGTTAAATGGACATATTTACCCTTAAAATAAATATTTAAAATAAATATTTCATTTATTTTTCTTCTCCAACAAATTATTACTGTAATTTGGTTCAAACCAAACAGATACTATAGCAACCAAACCAAAATATTCCAATTACAATTTAGAATCAATACGCGATATTTAGAGTTTATTAAAATCGCAAATCGAAATGGCATGTTCATGTTCCGAACTGAAAAAATAAAATAATTTATTGTTGAATTTAGACTATTTTTAAATAAAAAATAAAATAAAAACGGTTCAAAATTGCGAACCAGATCCGGAACCGCCGGTTCACAGTTCATGATCCAGTTTTTTTGGTTCATAAATTTAATAAATTGAAATCTAAATATTGGATTCTAGATCTGAATCATAACCGAAAAATTTTAATTCGATTGCTATAGTGTCCGGTTCAGTTCGAACCGAACCGTGATCATTGCTACATATACACAATAATTTGTTGGAGAAGTAAAATAAATAAAATGTTTACTTTAAGGGTAGAAATGTCAATTTAATATATCAGGGGGAAAAACCACCACTTTTAAAATAATTGAGGGGGCTAATGTGCTTACATAAATAATTGAGGGGGAAAAAGTGCTATAAGTATATAACTTAGGGGGAAAAAGTGCCATTTTCCCAAAAATATTTTAAATTAAAAGGTGACCTGCTAGCAACCTAAAAAATTTATAAATTAGACTAATTGTAAGAAAATTGTTAGTTTAGGGATCTAATTGTTGCTTTTTTAGGTTCAGTGGCCTAATTGCATTATTGTGTGCAATTGGATGGCCTATTTGACCCTTATTCCCTACTATTATTATTATATAAGGACATTTTAGTCTTTATATCACTTGTTTCATTCTCTACCCAATAATTCTATTCATCCCTACCAAACAATGTAATTTGAATTCCTACTTTATTCTCACCTTATTCTTTTCACACCGAATTGCAATTCCTTTCCACCCTAATTCTTTACTCCCAACCAAAGTGTGATACCCCATATTTTCTGAACATTGTACGAGAGTCGTATGTTTTAGACTAAATCAAAATACATGTTATATAATTTTATTTTATTCTTTGGGCTCCAAGTGTCTTCCTAAGTCCATATTATTATAGTGGGCCTAATTATATGATATGTACCTACGTCTATTAACATGTATATATTATATATATAATAGCTTTCCAATTAAATGTGTATGTAGCTACACTGTACACACGGCTATATAATATAAGTATACATACATACATATATATATATATATATATATATATATATATATTCCTAAATTTAATATTTTCTTAATCATATATATTATAATTCTATATAGTTATATTATTCCTAAATATATATATACTCCTCAAAGTTAACCCTAGTCTTACCCTAAACCTATTTAGTTTTTCTCTATCTTTTTGTGTCAAATAATTTTTACAGATGAACATGGATAGGAATTCAAGATGAATTCAAGCTAAGAAGGAATTAAGAATAGATCGATTGGAGATTTATTATTTGAGAAGCTTTATGGTTGTATATTATTATCCTTTCTTGTATTATAGAAGTTGGGTTTTGGTTGAGTTTATTTGATGTTGTAAATCTTAGCCTTAGCGTTTGGGTATAGGGAAATACCTGAGCGTGGCGGTAACACCCATTTTCTTTTGGTTAGTTAATGCTTCCACTATGTTATTAGTGAATATTTCAATTAAGAATGATTAAATACTAAGGAAAATTTGGTTATGAAAATTGGGGTGTTACACAAACGCCCTGTAAACGTCTGTCATTAAATATATATAAGAAAATCTAATTGTTTATAAGGGAAGGAGTAGGGATGACAATGTGTCCCGTTCCCGACGGGGATCCTCGATCTTCGTTCCGATAGAGACGGGGATGGAAAAAATTTTCGGGGAACGGGAACGAGAACGGGGAGTATGTATGATTCCCCGTCGGGGACGGGGATACCCCTCCTCGTCCCGTCCTGTCCCCGATTAATTATATATATATATATATATATATATATATATAAGTAATTGCAGTAATGTAATAATGCACTGTACTATGGCTCTGTTTGGCAAACCTAGTTGAAAAGCTATAAGCTCGGAGCTGAAAGCTGAAAATGAGCTGAAAGCTGAAAAGCTATAAGTTCGGAGCTGAAAAGTGAAGAGTTGTTAAGCTAGCTGTTATGGTTGAAAGGCTCTGTTTGTCAACGCTAAGCTAGGAGCTTATAGCTTATTTTAAGCTACTCATAAGCTATAAGCTCTGTTTGGTAATGTTCCCAAAATAAGCTCCTAGCTTAAAATAAGAGCTTATTTTGGAACGCTACTATTATTATTAATGTTATTTTGGAACATTATTATTATTATTATTATTATTATTATTATTATTATTATTATTATTATTATTATTATTATTATTACTACTACTACTACTACTATTATTATTAATGTTATTTTTAAATTAGCAATATGGCTTCAATCTCAATTTGAACAAGAGCAGCCAACTAATGCTCAAGAAGCATTTAATCGTGCACCTTCTTCTCTTCGAAGTTGTATTGAGAAATCGTTTGCAATATTGAATAAGAGAGGGAAGATACTTGCTAAAATGTCGCAGTTTAGTGAGGAAACCCAAATTGATGTTATTATGGCCACATTTGCACTACATAATTATATTCGGAAAAATTCACAAGATGACATGATGTTTAATGTGCTTGAGCAGCATCCAGATTACATACCGCCCGATGAACTTCAAGATTCAAGTAGTAATATCTCCATCAACGAAAATTTAAGTCACACCTCTATGGAGATGAAGGAGGTTCGCAACAATATTGCTACTTCATTATGGGATGCTAGATCATGATCATGCTAATAGTTTTATTTTAAAAAGTGTTTACTTTTTTTGGAAGATGAAATGTTAAATTTTAATATGTAAACAAACTAATTTAAATTTTATGAAGATGTCTGTTTTAGTCTTTTTACATTTATCAGCTTATCAAAAAGCTAATTTCACCAAACACTTTCAATCATAACAGCTCTTCAATTTTCAGCTCCGAGCTTATAGCTTTTCAGCTTTCAGCTCCTTTTCAACTATCAGCTCCTAGCTTATAGCTTTTCAGCTAGGTTTGCCAAACAGAGCCAAAGTGTTTGGTAAAATTAGCTTTTTGATAAGCTGATAAATGTAAAAAGACTAAAAATGACATCTTCATAAAATTTAAATTAGTTTGTTTACATATTAAAATTTAACATTTTATCTTTAAAAAAAAAAATTAACATTTTGAAATAAAACTATTAACATAATCATGATCTAGCATCTCATAATGAAGTAACAATATTGTTGCAAATCTCATAATAATAATAATAATAATAATAATAATAATAATAATAATAATAATAATAATAATAATAATAATAATAATAATAATAATAATAATAATATTTGTGGTGAAAGTTGCGGATAAAGGAGAAGAGAAAAGGATTTTAATTGGGAAGAGTAAATTATGTCATTTCTTTAAAATAATAAGGATAAAGATGGAAAAAAGTTAGGAAGCTAGGAGCTTATTTTGATAGGTAACGTTCCAAAATAAGATCTTATTTTAAGTTAGGAACTTATTTTGGAAACATTACCAAACAGAGCTTATAGCTTATTAATAGTTTAAAATAAGCTATAAGCTCCTAAATAAGCTCTGGCAAACAGAGCGTATATGTAATGAAATATATATAGAAGTAATGGTGGCAATATGGACTCTACTATATATATATACAATGAACCATATATAAAAGTAATGTTGCCACGGAATATATAAGTGGTAGTATGCAATGTAGTACTGTACTATATATATAT